TTTTTTTGGCTATTCTTTGTTCCTTTTAATGCCTTTTCGTTTGGTTTCAAAAACTTGCACGCCTTGAACATCATTTTCCACCCAAAATGTTTCTCTAAAGTTTTTCTTTGTTATTGATTGCTATCTAACTTCCAAGAATTACCTAAACGCGGAAAAGATTGATTTATAGGTATCAAACTGGTTTGGCAACAAACGAATTCGTTACAAGAAAAATATCGCTAAAGCTCAAGAAGAGGCAAACATGTACGCTGCAAAGAAAGCAGCCGCACATGGAATTGGAGGTACTTTAAGCTTGCTTAAATTTTTGATGAAGCTTTTCTGCCTGTATCAAAGGTTCAGTTTGTATCGCAAGAATTTCAGTTCCAGGTCTTCCTACAGCGAACTACGGCATGTTAGCTGGTTCATCGTCAATGCTTAATCCCTATCAGGGCATGCTACCTGGTCAAGATCTCAGCCATATGGGTATGCCACCAGGATTTGATCTGTCCGCATATAACCCTCAGTTGGTAAGTGTTGGACCCAATTTTCCTAATAATTGCTTTTGTTAGCTTTTTGTTTCATTTTATGGATGATTTCATCAAAAAAACTTTCTTTTGTTTCAGATGGCGCAATATCAAGCAAATCTGGATAGTGACAAGTAGAACCTGCGCACTTTTTACTCTACTTACTGATGACTTTCTATGAATCTCTTGCCAATTTTTGCAGTACTATGCTGGCAAAGTTGAATTGACTTGCCGTTATGTTAAGCTAACTATGTTCAGTTTCTCATTGTCTTTTGTATTTTGATCTCCATATTCCAATTTATTTCCTCTTTTTAGTAACAAAAGTTTTGACCACATTCTTAACCGGTTTTAATAGGGTTGGATTGCTGAAGCACTTGAGGGTCACTAGTAGAGCCTGCATTTTTCTTTCCATTTCTCCTAAAGTAAATCTGTCAAGCTGCTGCTTTTTAGTGTAGCAATCCCACTCTATATGTACATAGTCAGCTGTTTCGAAACATTGTCTTGTGTTGAACAGAATTTTGTTTCATGCAGGTTTTACGCAAAAACGTCACAACATATAGCACTGTAAGTGCATCGTAACATCTCTTAGCAATATTTGCATAACTATGACTTGAGATTTCACTCTTTTTATTGCATTTGTTGATGATATTTGTTTGCTAAAATAGTATTTACATAAGCAATTATAGCACAAGAATGCTTGATCTTTGTTTCAAAGTTGATTGTATGTTTGTTAACATTTTATAGATGAAAATGTTGAATAGTCTTTTTGGAGTTAGTGCAGTGTTTGAATAGGGTGATGAAGTCATTGGAAGTGAACAACTTTCTGGTTATCACTGTTTCGGCTGCGACCAAACAAGTATGTATGAAAAAAGAACTCAGTGATATGCTAAAGGTGTGAGATGTAAAAACAATGAATGAAGGGTCATTTTTCGGGATCTTCTGCGGACATGATCAATGCGAGATGGCCAAGGAAAACTTAGAACATCTAAGTCATCTTACCAGTAACTGACACAATCAAAACGGCAGCGTAGCTTATTCTGGTAATAATTAGAATTAATATGTCTGAAATTGAGAAATTGTACACTACAAGAATATTTTTCAGAAGAACTTCTTGAAACGGGGGAGTTTCGTTTATTTATTACCTATCATTAAACTTTTTTATTAGAGGGTTAAATTAATTTGAGCTTTTGAAAGAAAAAAAATTTGATCAAGATGCTATTGCGGTTGTAGAAGATAAATCTGCGGAATTTTGCTATGATCTATGCTCTAGTCTCTTCCAAATTATTTTTTATAGTTCGCAGGTCATAAGTTACTTGAGTCTCATTCACTCTGCTAATCTGTAGCTTTTAGAACATTTACAGCGTACACTTCTGCCCGAACATAGCCGAAAAACAAAAGGCTACATACTTGC